CCCACCAGCCACTCCTCGGAAGGAAGGTTGGGCAATCTACTTCCATAGTGATACTGCCTCGGAAACCCAAGGAGGGGTTGCTATGAGTCAGGTCCGACTGGACAGCACATAACAACAACAACAACAACAGGGTATTCCATATGTGAGATCATACAATATTTATTCTTTTACTATTAACTTACATGTACTCTTTTCTATAATTTTGCAGATCAGTGATGTCACCCTATTGTGTGAGCTACTAGACATGGACGTGTTGCTGTTTCCACTCCTTTATAGACTGCAAGTGGTGAAGCCAGCCTGTCAGTAGTCCTGAACTTTGACACTTAGGTTATTCTTTGATTCGCCAACTATAAACTATTTAATGAGATTCCAGTGCTATTACTTCAGCTGTCTATCTTAGCACCAGCCAGAGGGTCATGGAGGCAGGCTTTGGGAAGGTATCACTCTGTCATTATTCTACCACTAACAATGGAACAATAAATCAACAGCCAATTTGTGGTACAGTTCCCTGATCTCTGGATACTACAAGCAGTTTGTAAAATGATTGCTTCCTGGCCTGTCTTGTCTACTTTACAGGTTAATTATAAAAAATCTAATGAAATCATTTATGAAGAAGTGATTTGTTACGTAAAAATGAAGCATGAAGTGTACTCTCTCATCTTATTTCCCTTTTCCTCACCTCCCCTGTCCATCTGTTGGCTTCTAGCCAAGTTTCTTTTGTTCCCATCACCTCTTCTGATCCAGCCCTGGACTATACCATTCTTATTGTTATCAAAATAGCTGCTTTTACTTCTTAAACCAGGAGCCACCCTTCCCCTCTTTCAAAGCACAGCTCAAAGCCACCTCCTGTGGAAAACCTTCCCAGTCCTGCAGAAGGAAATGATAAACTTCCAGACAGGCCATTATACCACTCCCTCAGGTCCCAATCCCCCCACATGAGTTTGAGTGTTTATCCTAGATGTTCTGGTTACCTAGTGCCACTCTGACAAGAATATACCACAAAATGGGATGGCTTGAACAAACAGGAGTTTATTCTCTTACAGTACAGGAGGCTAGAAGTCCAAGTTCAAAGTGCCAGGCTCCAGGGGCTGGGTGAAAGCCCCTCAAACTTGGGGTCCAGCTCTGTCTCCTGCTCCTGGCCCACTGGAGTTAGAGGCTTTTCTACACTCAGACAGCTACTAGCTGCTGAGGCTGAGAAGCCCAAGGTTGACAAGTAACAAGGCACAGTCCCGATATTACCAAATCACACGGCAGGCCGTTAATTCAATTGTAAGTCCTAAGGTCGGCAGAGCATTGCAGGCTGCAGAACAATGACACGGCTACATGCAGGGTTCAAGGTGCCACAAGCTAAAGACCATTCCCCAAGGCTTCTGCTTATATGCAGGAAGCAGACCCAAGGCTTCTGCTTATATACAGGAAGCAGCTCCTAAGGGAGCTACTCAGCTGCTCACAGTAGATTCCACCATGGAGTTGATTACCAGTCTCATCATGGGAAATACTACATCCAGTTGCCCAGCTACTCAACCAGGCCCAGCCAAGTTGATACACAAACTGAACTACCACACTAGCACAATGTACTGGGCACTTTTGTATGAGTGCTACCTTTATAAAATACTTTCACTCACATTATCACTTTTAATATGTTTTCCTATATGTGATATATTAAGCTTTTTTTCTTAATGAAGAAATTAAGGAAAAATGTCTTCCCCAAGGCAGTACTGAACAGCAAGTGATTAAAAGGAAGGAAGGAATCACAGATCTGGGTTTGCCACTTACTAGTTCAAGTAGTCCCCAACTTATGACATATTCAGGTTACAATGAACTGCACTTACAACCATCGTTTTTGTTTTTTGGTTTGTACATCTTATAGTAATATGTACTACATACAATGTTGCATATAATTTGCTGATGTTATCACATGCAGATATTTACTAGTAGATGTACAATATTATTATTTAAAGTTCAAAACATTGTCATACAGATGTCATTTTCTAAACTAAATCAGGGGCTTCAGTTACTTGAAAACACAGACCCAACACTAATCGCTTTGCTAAAGTCAGCAAACAGATTCAAGAAGCAAGCAGTAAGATGTTACCACAAAATATATGAAGGAAATTAAAAAGGACCATACAGACAATTCTCACTAATTTTCTGCTAGAAACGCTATCCCTTTTCCCAGAGATAATCCAGAGGATCCAGAATCTTCCATAAGTGGAGTTATCACAACTGACAAAATGCCGATGTTGTTCAACTCTTCTTCATCGGAGTAAATTTTTCTGATTTGTGTATGTTTTAGCATATTATGTATTACAATGTATCTGTAAGTTTATTTGTAATGTTTCCAAATCCCAAAGACAACAACCAAAGATACTGGTAATAAAAGGCAATATTAATAAAAACTAATTTGACATACAACAGAGTTGTGGGAAGGAAGCTTGTCCTAAGTCAGACATTACCTGTACCTACCTCAGAGTTGTTGCAAGGATTATAGTAGGCAACATGTGGTAGTAGCTCTTATAAAACTGGAATCAGATCTCAGCTCCAACACCCCTTCTTCAAGGAAGCCTTCTCTGTCTATTCTAGATCAAGTCCCCATTATTTGCTTACAGGCATTACCTCTCTTTCCTTCCCAGCACTCATCTCAGCTGTCAGGTTACATTAATTTGTGTGCTCATTTGATTATTGTCTTCTCTCTAGACTGCAAACTCGATCAGGATAGGGATGTTTGGTTTTGCCCACCACAGAATCTCCTGCTCCTAAGTCATCACTTGTCACATAAAATTTCTTCAATAAATTTTGTTAGATAAATGAGAATTTAAACCCAACTTTTGTTTGTTTAAACCCAACTTTTCTGATTCACTCTAAATTAGACCACTTAAAACCCAAACCAAACCTACTACTGTCAAGTAGTGTCCCACTCATAGTGATCCCTCCTTGGGTTTCCCAGGTGATATCACTACAGAAGTTGATTGCCCAACCGTCCTTCCAAGGAGCGGCTGTTGGGTTTGAACCACCAGCCTTCTGGTTAGCAGTCAAATGCCTTAGGCACCACGCTACTAGTGCTCCTAAATTTGACCACTTAGTCTTGGAAAAATGTATGAACGGTGCGGGACACAGCAGAATGAGGTAATGTGGCTTACTCCTCTGAAAGATGTTATTATAAATTCCAAAGGACTAGAGAACGCAAGAACAGTTCTTTCACAGCTTCCTAGGAAAACAAGACTTTCATTGAAGAGCTGCACGAGCAAAACGCAGTTTTTTCCCTCACTTCCGTACGATAACCCAAGATGGCGGGGCGCATAACTTAAAAACCATATCCAAGATGGCGACCTCCGGCTCCCTGCGCAGCGTCGCGCGAGGCTTCCGAGGCCACGCCCACTTCCGGCTCCTCCGCCTAAGCATGGCAGTTTGGGCGACTCTGGTCTTGCGTGAGTGGGAATAGGGTTGGTGGGCTCCAGAGCCAGCGCAGGGCGGGCCTGGGACGCCCCAGACTGCCTGAACGGCAATTCCCTCAACTCTGCCCTTTCCCAGCAGGTGTCCGGAAGCTACACTGCAACGCGGCGGCTTGGGCGGGCAGCCGATGGCGGCTCCAGTGAGTTGTTGGGGGAGGGGCGGGGGGCGGAAGGTAGGGCCCGAGAGCCTGGCCAGGTCTTCACAAGACATTTTTTCCGCCCCCTCAGGCAAGGCATGGCTGCCAGCCCCTCCGGCTACGGGCCCCTTACTGAACTCCCAGACTGGTCTTACGCGGGTGAGCACTGTTTGACACTTAATTTTACTTCAGAGATTTTCACCAAAGGAAGCGCCCCTGGATGGGAAGGACCTGAGGGTTGTCAAGTTGGGAAGGGCTTGAGTGAAAACGAATTTAACTTTATATTTGACAAAGGGAGTTTGGGTGAAGAAACATTATTTATGTTGTACATTAAACTACGACTACAGAGAGCAGAGCTAGACGGGAGCAGAAGATAATTCTGACTCGGAGCTCCCCAGGGTAGGAGAGGACGACAAGACTTAAAGTTTCTCAAAAAGGGACGTTTTTTTTTTTTTTAAAATTTTAAGAAGAAGATAGGCAGCAAATTTGCCCAGAGCAATTGGAAAAGGGACTTTTTTTTTTTTTTTTTTTTTTTTAAAAAAGTTAGGAAGACCTGCCCTTTTGTGTGGTGAGTACTTTGTTGAGACTTTGGTGCCAAATGCAGAGAGAGCTCTTAGGAAAGTGCTCAAATGAGCATCTGAGAGAGAAAATAACGGTGAAGAATGAGGACGGCACGCTGCCTTCAGAAAAGCCTTTTCCCTTAAAAAAGAAAGAGATGAGGGAGGGAGGAAGAGAAGAGGAAGGAAAAGAGACAGTGACCCTAGAAGAGACCTCAGAAGTTGAAGTCACTGCCACTCCCCACTCTCCACGTAGAACTTTGCAGGTAGGAAAGTTGAAGCCTGCAGATTGTAGCAATGCCACGACTGGAACCGGGTAGGGGCCAGACCCCCTTTTCAGCACAGATAAACCTGGGTATAGATAGCTTCTTAGGTTCTGTGGCTGTACAGAACTGTAGGATGCCTAGGATCTCTTTGTAGTAATATGGAATAATGGAAAGACCCTGGAGTTATACAGACCTGATTTTTTTTTTTTTTTAATTGTGATTTGGTTGAAAGTTTACAGAGCAAATTCATTTTTGATACAGCAGTTCATACACATTTTGTCTCATGACATTGACTGCAGTTCCCCACTATGTAACAGCTTTCTTCCCACTTTCTCCCCATAGTCTTCCCTGTGTCCTTCCTCCCATGCACTGCCCCCCTAGCTGTCGTCTTGTGCAAATACTGTGCTTTTTTTCTCCCATGATTGATTTCTCCAAGGAGTATATCTGCCTAATGTAAATGTTCACTCCATATGCCTGTCTGTTGTTAGGCTAAGAGCCACAGGAGTGAGTTCAGTTCCAGACCTGAATTGTGGCTAGGGACCATTGTCTGAGGGGTCTTACTAGGCTCTATCAGACCAGCAAACCTGGTACAGACCTGATTTTTAATCCCAGCTTCCCTACTTGTTAACTTTGTAATCTTGGACAAATAATTTTGAGTCTCAGTTTTCTCATCTGTAAAAGAAGAAAAATAGCTATTTCATAAGATTTTTATAAGAATCAAAACAACAAATGTAAAGTACCTAGCATATGCAGCATTGGTTCTGTCTCCTGATAAATAGCCTCTGGTCTATCCTGCCTTCAAACTTTTAGGCAGTGCTTTCTCTGTATTATTTTCTGTTTGCGATTTTCTTTGTAGAAAATACGTATCCTTTTCCTCATTTCCATTACAAACTACTTGAAGTCAAATACTTCATCTTTTCAGCAAGTCAGCAAATATTTATAAGAGTATTTATTTATTTAATTTTTATTGTGTTTTGGGTGAAAGTTTACAAAGCAAATTCATTTTCCATACAGCAGTTCATACACATTTTGTTTCATGACATTGATTTCAACTCAATCATTGATTGCAATTCAGCGTTAACAGTTCTCTCCCAACTTCTTCCCTATAGTTACCTCTTCCTGTGGCCTTCCCTCCCATAATGCACTCCTGCCCCCTGAGCTGTCTCCCTGTGCAAACACTGCCCTTTTATTCTCCCAAGATTGATTGCTCTAACGAGTGTGTCTACCTGAAGTAAATGTTCACCCCATATGCCTGTCTGTTGTTTGGCTGGAAGCCACAGGAGTTTAGTTCCAGACCTGAAGGATAACTAGGGGCCATAGTTTCAGAGGTCTCACTAGGCTCTATCAGACCAGCAAACCTGGTCTTTTTTTATGATTTTGAGTTTTGTTCCACATTGTTCTCCACTCTGTCCAGAGTCTCCTGCATCAATCCCCCTCCGAGTGGTTGACAGGGGTAGCCGGCACCATGTAGTTCTTCTGGTTATAGAGTATTTATTATGTGCTTATGTGCCAGTACTATGCTATGAACAATTAAAGAGAGATACAGCCCCCAATCCCAAGGAACTTGAAGTCTGGCTGGGAAAATGAAACACGGGCACTTTTTTAAATTGAATAATACTTCAGTACTCTGCTCCTTTCCAAAACAATTTCAGACATCTAAATAAGACAAAACAATGGTACAATAAATGTCCAAAGGCAGATAAGAGTATTAAATGATCCAGATGTACTTCTTTCAGAAGTGGCTGAAAAAGAGAAATGTTTCTGAGAAAGATGGGGTTTGAAGTGGGCCTAAAAATGAAGATTTCGCTGAAAGGAAAGGAAAAGAGTGTTTTGCCCTGGATTGGGAGGGAATTTAGTTCAAAGACTCAGAGTGGAACAATGATCAAAATCACGTGAGTGGAGAATTTCCAGAGATGCAGCTTTGTAGAGGACATTGATTTCTTTAAGCTAAAGAGTGATACAAAGTATTAACATGCCTAGGAGCGTATTCTTGGTGGGTGTGTCAGATCTCACCCTTGAAGATGAGGGACATGTTTTAAAAGAATTACTTAGAATAGTGTGAAATAGAAGAGAGGGGTGTGTGAAATAGAAGAGAGGGGCGAGCGGTTGGTCTTTGCTCATTTCTCTCACAGTGTTTGCCAAGGTGCTGCAAGCCATCTCTAACACTTGCCTTTTCTTTCATTTCTGTCTGCAGATGGTCATCCTGCTCCTCCAATGAAAGGCCAGCTTCGAAGAAAAGCCCAAAGGGAGGATTTTGCAGTGAGTGGCTAGAGTACTCAGCCAGAGTTTACCTGTGTGTAATCACAGGAGGAAAATTTAAATCGTTATTTGTCTTGAGCTCTGTCAGCACCTACGCTAACATGTGTCTCTTATACCCTGGCTTTAACAGAGCAGGGAGAAATAAAATGGGATACCCCTAGAGCAGAAACAAGTAATAGAATGCTGCTCCACATTTTGCTACCTCCCTCCTGCTTCCAGACCTAAGACATGGTCCCACCCTTTCCCCAGTCATCAGTGTCATTTTCCAGCTGAAACCTCTGGCTTTGATCTGTGAGTAAAAGGATATATGGTGCAGAGCTCAACCCCAGATGTTACCCACACAGTTTTCCTGTCTATTTCAGAGAAGAGTTGTATTGCTGTCACAGGAAATGGAAGCTGGATTGCAGGCATGGCAGCTCAGACAGCAGCAGAAGTTGCAGGAAAAAGAAAACAAGCAGAAAAATGCTCTTAAACCCAAAGGGGCATCGCTGTGAGTCAGAATCGACCTTGACAGCAGTGGGTTTGGGTTTGGGTTATCGTAATAGACAAGCTCGATAAAATCAAACAGTAGAATAAAACTGTTGACTGAAAGTATAATTCCATAGTTGAATATCCTTCAGTGTAAATGCTATGAAATAGAAATGTCATATATTTTGAACTGCTCCCTTCTTTATTAAGCAGCATGACAATAAATGGTTAATTTTTTATTTTATTTTTTTAAAAAAGTGCCTTCACTACAGAGCCCACTTACTAGTCAATAAAAACTCTTGCCCTGTTCTCCCACCACAGTCTCTCTGACTGGCTTCTCTCTCTCTCTATTTCAATTGTAAAGAATTATTGATTCAGTTAGTTTTACATGTACAGTTCTGTGACATCAATTTTGTTCATGTTATGTAACCATTACCACTATTCCTTACCAAATTACTCTACACCAATAACAGAAACTCAATGCCTCCTAAGCAGTGACTTCCCCTTTTTCCCTCCCTCCTACCCCAGGTAACCATTAATAAGCTTTAGTCCCTGCATTGCCTATTTCATGTAAGTGAGATCATTTAATATTTGTCCTTTTGACTTAGCAAGTTTTCAAGGTTCATCCATGATGTAGGATTTCATTTTATGGTTGAATAATATTCCACTGTGTATACCCCAAGGAGGAGCTCTGGTAGCATAGTGGCTAAGGCACTTGACTGCTAACCAGAAGGCTGGCAGTTCAAACCCACCAGCCACTCCTCAGAAGGAAGATGGGGCAGTCTACTTTCATAGTTATACTGCCTCAGAAACCCAAGGAGGGGTTGCTGTGAGTCGGGTCCGACTTGCCAGCACATAACAAAAACAACAACATACCCCAAGGATCTCTGGTGCCATAGTGGTTAAAGCATTCAGCTGCTGACCAAAAGATCAGCAGTTTGAACCCACCAACCACTCCGTGGGAGAAAGATGAGGCAGTCTGCTTCTGTAAAGATTTACAGAAATCCTGTAAGGCAGATCTACTCTGTCTTAAAGGGTAACTATGAATGAGAATCACCTCAATGGCAGTGGCTTTGGTGTGTCTGGTTTGGTATATTCCAAATTTAGTTTATCCACCTGTTGATGGGCATTTAGATTATTTACACCTTTTTGCTACTGTGAGTAGTGCTGCAGTGAACATTGGTGTATAGGTTTTCTGGCTCTCTTTTATCACCTAGATGAGTTATCGCAGGGAGGAAGCCTTTATGAGCTTGGACACCAGTAAGAACAGGCCATAACTAGGGGTTTCTTCCCATCTGGAGCAAAGAAGAGTGAAGAAAACCAAAGACTCAAGGAAACAATTAGTCCAAAGGACTAATGGACCACATGAACCACAGCCTCCACAAGCCTGAAACCAAAAGAAATGACGAGGATCACAGTAGAAGGTCCTGGACAGAGTGAGGGAAAAATGTAAAACAAAATTCAAATTCATTAAAAAGACCAGATTTACTGGTCTGATAGAGACTGTTGGAACCCTTGAAACTATATGGCTTTTAGACATCCTTCAAACTCGGAACTGAACCCACTCCCAGAGGCTTATAACCAGACAACCGGCAGGCCTAAAATGAACAGTAATACCCAGGAGGACAGTGCTCTTCACATTTAATTGTATGAGACTGAAAGGGCAGCATTTGCCCAAAAGCAAAATTCAGAGGGCAGGAAGGCTGGGCAAAATGCAATCCCAGAACCCAGGGAGGAAGTGGGAAGAGTTGTGTTACCTTGAGGGAATTGCAACTAACTAATGTCACAAAACAAAATGTGAATAAATTGTTGGATGGGAAACTAATTTGCTTTGTAAACTTAAACCACACGAAAAAAATTTTTTTAAAGGGGGGGTCTGTAAGGTCTCACAGTTGGCTCAGTGCCCTCACCCTTGGTTCCATTCCATTTCAGCAGAATCCTGTTTGGGATTATCACCTCTCCTTTTCAGGCCATTGAAGTGGCCCAAGTGGAATAGGAGCTGCTCTGGTAACATGAAACAGGGACAGCAGTTGCCCTGGTTTTAGCCAGGCACTTAATGTGCAATTAGACATTTAATGTTTTGATGAAGAAGGTCCGCAGCCAAAGACCATTTCTTGGCAAGAAACTGATAACAGTTTTCCAAAAGTTGAGATGTATGACCCAGAAGGATACCCACTGGAAGGCTGACATGGGAAGACCCAGATTTTGCTATGGCATATTCTGCTTGATTTACTTCCTGAGGTCTCCATGGTTCTGACAGTTCAAGAGGTTAGTTGAAGAGGGGCTTGCCCACCCCTCCCACTCTGCTTTATAAAGGGTGCCCTGGATGTGCTGAGCCCTCAGTCACTGTGGATGACTGCCTAGGACCTGGAGAGCCTGTCATTTTCTTGATCATGAGTCTTCCCATGGACTCAACTTTTCTCCCTGTCTGCCACAAATGTGTGTGAGTTCTGGAATCCTTGGGATTCCTGGACCTTGTCTGACCTAATTTCTATGTAGCCTCTTTATTCCTCCCTTGCTTGTTTTCCTTCCACTCTCCACTCCCTTTCTTCTCTTGCTGACCAAATACAATTCTTGGATCTTAGATTTCGCTGATGATCCAGTTTTCTGTCTCCCACTCTGCTGCTTCCGTTGTGCTTCTTTTCCAGCTCTAGTTCTAAACCTCTTATCAGTCTCCCTTTCCCACTCTCAGCTTTAGTCCTCCTCCCCCTCCCTTGCATACCTCCACCTTTTGTTCTCAGTTGTCTAGTCAGTTCTGAAGGAGCCTTTTTTTTTTACTCTTTAAGGAATTAATTGCTTCCTTTCCCAGTGTAGAGGTATAAAAGCGAAACCGCACAATTCTGACACCCAGTACCTTTCTCCCAACAATTTCACCAAACTTGATTTGCTTTTCCTCAGATTCCATGGGCTTGCACCCCTTTTCCTCCCCAGCCAGTCACCTAATTTAAGGAGTACCCAGATTGCAGATGACAGTAATAAAGGGAGCACATTGGTCTTTCTACAAGGACAGATCTTCAGATTCAGTGTCACTGTGGTGTTTCATGTTAGGTGTTACTTTTTTTGCCAGGGGAGGAAGGAGCAAAGGTGGTTGTCAAGAATAAGAGACAAACTAGCCTGAGAGGAAACAAACTCTACCAGTGGCTCTGACCAGGATCACAATATAAGGCCTTGGAAAGGGGGAGAAAAATAAGGAACAAAATTCAAAATCACAAAAAGACTAGACTTACTGGTCTGATAGAGACTGGTGGAACCCCTGAGACACTAGATAGCTCTTAGACACACTTCATACCTGGAATTGAACCCACCCCCAGGATGACCTTTCAGCCAAGCAACAGATGGTGTGGGCTATAAGACAAATGAACAATGACACCTGTGAGGAACCTGCTCCTCAAAACAATCCATTGTTGCCAGACCAGGAGGGCAGCATTTCCCCTAAAGTTCAAAGGGCAAGAAGAGGCAGGAGAAGAGGGACAAATGGAAATGGAACCCAGTGAGGAAGTGTGAAGAGTGCTGTTAACTGTGGGCATTGCAACTAATACCATGAAACAAAATGTGTATAAAATGCTGAATGTGAAGCTAGTATGTTCTGTAAACTTTCACCCAAATCACAGTAAATGTTAAATTAAAAAACGGAGGCAAAAGTGTGAATTTGGTGGAGGCACAGATACCAGCAGACAACTGTTACCAAACTGGTCCTTTCCCAAGCCCAGGTCACATAGGGGAGATGCCCTTTCCCCCTCAGACCCAGAGCTCCTTGTTATCCCCAATTGCTGAGCCTTCCCATACTTCTAACCCTGAGATGAGACAAATGCTGAATACCAGAAGAATCCAGCCACCCAAAATATGCTTAGGAGGAGAAAGCCTCCCACATCCCGTCCCCTGGGTCCCCCCACAGCCCCCTGCTCCCAGCCGTGGCCCCAACCCCTGCAGATGGCAGCCTGCACCACAGAAAGACAACTTAGGGCTGTTTCTTTTTTTCCAGCTCTTGGCTGTAATTGGATTCAGGCTGAAACAACCACGTCCCCACCAGGAAAGGAGGGCATTGGGGCGGAGGCAGGGGAGAGGCTGCAGGAGAAGGGAGGGACCAGAGCAGAGAGCTAGGAGAGGGCTCCCGAGCCAGTTCGCCGACTAAGCAGAAGAAAGATCAAAAAACGGAAAAGAGGAGAGCAAACAGGCACTTTCAAGAACAATCCCCTCATCTCTAAGCCAAGAGCGCTCTAGGAATCCAAATTCAGTGCCTCCTGAAGACAAAGGCGCCGCGACCCCAGGGCGTGGGCCCCGCCGCGGAGCCCACACGGCTCGGCTGCCCCGACGGCCACAGACCATGTCTCCCACCCTCCGACCCGCTCGCAGGCTGCTGCTCCCCATGCTCACGCTCGGCACCGCGCTCGCCTCGCTCGGCTCGGCCCAGAGCAGCAGTTTCAGCCCCGAAGTAAGTGAGCTCCTCCGGCCCTTCCCGGGGTCGCGCCTGCCGGGGAGACAAGCCCGGGGGTTCTCCAGGGGACAGCCCCCATTCGGAGAGGAGGGCTCTCGGAGTTTCTGCTGATCTGGTCTGCAGGATCCCCCTCCCTTTTCTTTTCCTCCTCAGCTCCAAACTTCCAAGTCGGTGCAACTTTTGCCTGCCTCCATCCATCCTCCCCTCTCGTAGACTTTCTTTCCCATTCCTTCCTTTCCTTGGAAGAACTTTACAGCTGAGATAGACCCCCCCATCCCCCAGTTCCCCTGGGCTCTGAGCTCAGCTCTGGAACCGGTTGGGAGCCAGATAAATATTTGGACTCCGCTCAAACCCCTCTATCCCCGTTTCTTGTCATGTGCGAATTTGTTTCTTCAACTTTCCAGTTCTCCAGCGCTCTCCCGCCCGCGCGCCCTCCGCGGGCGCCTCTGCTGCCAGGGAGGTCCCGGGTGGACGGCGCGGAGCGGCTCCCGAACCCCCCCACTCCTTGGCCGCCCCTTCCCGCCTCCCCGTGACCCCCGTGCACACATCCTCGGCCAGGTGGGGTCTAGAGTGGACGGCGCGGAGCGGTCCCGACCCCCACCCCAGTTCCCCGAGAGGACCCCTCTGTGCCCGGCCCGGAACCCTGGCGTCGAAGGTCGCGGGGCCGGCGCTCTCGCCGCGTTTCCGTGCACACAAAGCTCTCCTTGTGAGCAGAGGCCTCGGCCAGGCCGACTCCTCCTCCCCTCGTCGGCGCCTTCAGGCACTTTTTTGTTGTTGTTAATTGTTTTTCTGTGTTAATTGCAGGGAGACTGGGGGCGGCTCTCGGGGAGTGGGGAGAGGACCTGGCCCGGGGCGTCCGCACAACCTCGATTGCCTTTGGCGACCCCCACGCCTTGCCTCGGCATTGGCCCACCGGGCCTGGAAGGAAGACGCGTGGGAGTTGTCTGAGGAGGTTTTTCCTCTCTCTCTCCTTTATTTTGGGGTGAAGGTGGGAGACGGATTTAATCAGTTTCTTATTTTGGGCCATTCCAACCCACTCTGCCGGGCTAGGGCCTGGGTGCGGTCGGGAGTGGCCGGGAAGGGCCCACGAAGGGGGAAGGGATCTGGACTTGGCTTCTTCCGCCATGGTCTCACCCCCGGTTGAAAACTCTCCAGAAAGAACCCGCTCTCTGTCCCTGAAGAGGTCTGGGACTGACTGAAAAAGTGTGCCCCTAGAAGTCAGGGTGCAGAGTTCAGGGACCAGGGGAAGGGACACTGAAAATGTCCCCTGGGGCTAGGGATAAACCTGACAGACTGAAGTCCTCATTTGAGGCCTGAAAGGGAGAGTGCCTAACAAAAGGAACCCGGGCATCTAGGGGCTGCCTGCTGCCAACTTTCCCCTCCCTGCCTGCCTGCCTTCCCTCCCCTGCCCCACCAGGCCCCCTACGGGAGGGGCGGCGGCCCTGGCTCTGTTTAAAGTGGGTCATGGGCAGCCCCAGTGCCAGAACCACCATTTGCTCCTGGGCCATGGAGGGGTGGGAGGCAGAGGAAAGGAGGAACAAGCCCAGAGGCTAAGATCCAGGGCCTTCTGTAGAGCCAGAGTTCCCCTGAACTCTGCCAGGACTCCTGGGCCAGAGCTGAAGGGGGTTCCCTTGACTTTACCCTGGAGGCATTCTTACACCCCTCATTCCTCAAGACAAAGCCAGCAGATGAGTTCTTTGACCCAGAATAGTTGCTCCCTCTCCAGGCCAATCTGGAGGGAGAGCTGGGGTGCCCCAGGCCTCAAGAAGTGATCCTTCCCATAAGGCCCCCCACAGCTCTGCACCAGCCCCAGGACTAACCTCCCCTCCCCTTGGCCTGTCTGGTGCACAGCCCTTCCCCACCAGTTGCAGACACAGAGTCCTCTCTTCTGTGGTTCCAACCTCACAGTATTCTCTGTGGTTCCTGCTTTGCTTAGAGCCTTCCCCTGTAAGATGGAGGGAAGAAAACCTGGGCCTGGGAGGAGGAAAGGGATCGATGCACTTCCCTTCCAAGACTGTGGCTCTCTTGAGTCTGACAAGTCCCTTTCTTAAATAACCTCCATTTGTCTCTATAGGATTTGGGGTGGAGATTGTGGGTGTGAATATTTAGATGGGACTACCTTCTTGAAGGAGCTCTGGTAGCATACATAGGGCCTAAGGCACTTGACTGCTATCCAGGAGGCTGGCGGTTCAAACCCACCAGCCACTCCTCGGAAGGAAGATGGGGCAATCTACTTCCGTAGTGATGCTGCTTCGGAAACCCAAGGAGGGGTCGCTCTGAGTCGGCGGCACATAACAACAACAACCACCTTCTTGAGAGACTTCTCAGGGAGAGGAAGTTATCCCAGAAGTCCTCCGGAATGTGCATTCTTCCCCTCTGCTGCCCTCCCTTCCATTGTCCTGCCCTAGGAGATTCCCCTCAGCTTTGCTCTTTGAGAGCTGAGTAGGCTTGGCCTCAGTCCTACTAACTTGCAGCTCTAGGAGTAGGTAACTCCCATCCATCCCCAAAGCCTGAAGCAGCTGCTTTCCCACAAGGGGTCATAAGCTTGGAGTGTGGCTACCCTACAGGTGAGGCTAGGGGGACAGAAGTTTCCTGTGTACTTGGGCACAGGCCACAGCAGGCTTCCCACAGGCACTAGCTATGGCATCAGCCAGCACAGGTCAGGACAAGCCCACAGCTCCTGGAGAGCAGCCCGAGATAGGCTTAGCTCCCCTCCGGCACAACAGAAGTTAAACTTCACTCCCTCCTGTACCTGTGAAAAGGACTCTCAGAGCCCAGTGGTGCGAGGGTTGTTATGGCCTGGCCTATTGGCTGGGAACAGGCTGGGTTGTTTACATCCTGGGCCCTAACTCTCATCAATCAGCCTTGGGGGATCACTTCCCAGAATCGTGATGCAATTCATGCCCCAGCAGACTCAGGTCCCCAGTCAGCTGCTCCTGAATCACCCCCTAGCCTCTGTACAAGGGCACTGCTCTGATACCCAGAGCCTGGAGGTACAGGGCCTCATGGAGATTCATCCTCTTGACCCTGGGTGGGGAGAGTGGGAGATACAGCAGCCAACAGCAGTCTGCAACCCTCTGCCCTCCAAGCTCCTATCCTAAGCAACCTGCAGCCCCACTCAGGGTTCCTTCAGAAGGCAAAGAAGGAGCAGGGACCAGAGCCATCTCTGTAGGTCTCCCCATTAGAGAAGCCAAACAGCCTTAGATTCCATAGGCAATCTGGCTCATTTTACTTTTACTTTAGGAAAATACTCAATTGTTCTTACAATAAAGGCTGATTTTTCACCTCATAGAGCTTTGCAATATGTGTATCTTTCACATATTGTAATTGAAGGCGATATTCCAGCCTTTATATTATGAACAATTCACAGCATACCTGAAATAAAATACGTTTTTCAAGCCTCCATCACCCCTATCTCTCACTGCCTGTCCCAGCTACAAGAACCTTAAACAAGTCTTTAGTCCCATCAGCCTTAGATCAGATGCTGCTTGGACAGGGACAGTGGCAGGATCCTGTCTCAGGCTGAATCACACCTCTTGCCATCTGTCCGGCTTCCCTTATCAGCATCCAACCTCAGTCCTAGCTCCCCTCCTTTTCTTAAAGGTATCAGCTATGAGGGTCCTGAAGGCATGGGCATCCCTGTCCCAGGAAGGCCTCATGCCATATTCAAAAGTGGAGCCCCTCAGACCTTGAGCCTGCCCCTCCCCACTTAACCCTACTATGAGCACAGCCCTTTCCCAGGTGGGACATGTTGTATTTGCAAGAACACTGACACAGGAGAAGAGTGCTGGAAGTAGTCACAGCTCTGAGAAGACAGTCTGGAGCTCTCTATTAAACCTTCGGGGCACCTGTCCTCAACAGAGCTATAGCCGCCAAAGTCTGGAGCTTGTGGTTCCCTACCCCTGTTTGAGCCCAAGCTCCAAGGGGCAAGCCATTCTGAGGCATGCAGCCAGAGCTCAAGTGCAGCCTAGGAGTCCCATAGGCCTCCTGCCAGGGCCAAGCTGGAAGCCCATTGCCTTTCCTCATCAAGCTGAGGGTGCATGTCGGCACTGCGGGTGAGGCAGAAGCTCCCCGTGGGCCAGGTGGGGATGCTCTAAGCAGACCCCTTTCCCACAGGCCTGGCTGCAGCAGTATGGCTACCTACCCCCTGGAGACCTGCGTACTCACACACAGCGCTCACCCCAGTCACTATCAGCTGCCATCGCTGCCATGCAGAGGTTCTATGGTTTGCGAGTGACAGGCAAAGCCGATGCAGACACTATGAAGTAAGTGCTAGACCTTGGCAAGAATTCTGCCCCAGCATCCACTGACACACATTGAAGACCAGAGCTGTTGCTGCTTGAATACCTGGCTCCTCCCTCCCCTCCAGAGCCCATGGTGATCTTGACTCTTATCTTTACCCTGACCTCCTAACCCTGGCCTTTCCCCACAATGACTCTACCCTACACCCAATGAACTCCACCCCACACTGATCATGGTTCCCGACGTTCCCCCTCTCCCCTGGAGGCCATTCTTTTTCATACCCTGTATTGACCCCCAATCCTCAACTCACCATAGGGCCATGAGGCGCCCCCGCTGTGGTGTTCCAGACAAGTTTGGGGCTGAGATCAAGGCAAATGTCCGAAGGAAGCGTTATGCCATCCAGGGCCTCAAATGGCAACATAACGAGATTACTTTCTGGTGAGTCCAATAAGCAAGTGACCTTTCTTACATCTGGTTGTTTTTCCTGATCACCTATACTTACACAGGGCACAGAGACTCCCCGTTCCTCACCTTTTTTCTGGGAAAGCATCCTTGGGAGTGGGAAAGAAAATGTCTGTAACTGTGGAGAGAGATGCAGCCAGCAGGGGGGCTGTGCCTCAGCACCAGAGAGCCAAACTGTGGGTCGCTCAGGCCCTTAGTTCTTGTGGCAGGCATCATGAAGCAACAAGAAAAGCCAGGTCAGGCAAAGGTGGTGGGCAGTTCAGTCAGACGTGGGATAGTGCAGATGAGAATTCTGCCCCTTGCTCTCCTAACACCCACATCCTCTCCCCACGTGGCTGGACCTCAGCATCCAGAATTACACCCCCAAGGTGGGCGAGTATGCCACATTCGAGGCCATTCGCAAGGCATTCCGCGTGTGGGAGAGTGCCACACCACTGCGCTTCCGCGAGGTGCCCTATGCCTACATCCGTGAGGGCCATGAGAAGCAGGCCGACATCATGATCTTCTTTGCCGAGGGCTTCCATGGTGACAGCACGCCCTTCGATGGCGAGGGTGGCTTCCTGGCCCACGCCTACTTCCCGGGCCCCAACATTGGAGGAGACACCCACTTTGACTCTGCCGAGCCCTGGACTGTCCGGAATGAGGATCTCAATGGTGAGCGAGGTAGCCCTGGGACTCTTATTCCAGGGAGAGCCTACAATCATCTAAGGGGGGGGGGGCTTCTCCTCCCAAAACTTCAAAGCTTAAAATCTCAGGGCTAAAAGAAACCACGTTTGCCTTGTCTGACTTCCAACCAAAGCAGGGATCCTGTCTTGAGTTACTTATGTCTGGTTCTTTAGCCTACTAACTGCCTTCCCAAAGACTTATAACCCACTTTTCTAGGCACCTGTAATGGCTAGCTCATGGGAGAAACTGAGGCCAAGAAGATCTCAGCTTCCTTTAAAATATCTTCCTGAGATCTTTCCCCAGAGCACTCTGTCACCTCCACCCAGGGGAGGTTGGTGCTTTATTGCCAACTTAGGCTAACCTAAGTATTTGATCACTTGGGTAGAAAGATGGCAGGCAGGCTTGAGCATGAAACTGAAGCCTCTGGTGGGAAAGCAGGGGATGTGAGGGAGGGGACCTGGGCTTTCATCATAACCATCCCCATCCTCTCCAGGTAATGACATCTTCCTGGTGGCTGTACACGAACTGGGCCATGCCCTGGGCCTCGAGCATTCCAATGACCCTTCAGCCATCATGGCACCCTTTTACCAGTGGATGGACACAGAGAACTTTGTACTGCCCGATGATGACCGCCGAGGCATCCAGCAACTTTATGGCAAGTAATTTACCCCCACACTTGCTCCTTTCTTTCTGCTCCTTATACTTACCTGGTCTTTTCTTGTCTCTGCAATTTTTCCCTCTCCCATGCTTATCTCCCAATCCTGCATAGTCTTCTCCCACCACCCCACCAGACCCTGCTTCCATCAGCTCCCATTTTTGATCCCACTTTTTCTGTTTTCTCTCAGCTAATTGTCTCAGCCTCTCCAAGAGGTCCATGGAACATCTTTCCAAGGGTGTTATCGCCCATCTGTCTGTTCTTCCCTTCCCCCTGTGTTGCCAAGTCTGAAGTGCTCTCGTGTTCTCTGCCTTAGGAAGTGAGTCCGGGTCCCCCACCAAGATGCCCCCTCAACCCAGGACTACCTCTCGGCCCTCTGTCCCTGATAAGCCCAAAAACCCCACCTATGGGCCCAACATCTGTGACGGAAACTTTGACACTGTGGCCGTGCTCCGAGGGGAGATGTTTGTCTTCAAGGTGAGAGGAAAGAAAAGATGGGCTAGTTTAGGGGACCAGAGGGCTCTGTGGTGGGGAGGCTGGATGGCAACAGCAACAGGATGAGTGAACTAAAATCAGGCCCAAGCACTGTGGGGGAGCTCTGGAGACTGAACCACAGAAGGTAATGTGCTCTCTTCCTGCTTGGTTGGCTTCCAGGAGCGCTGGTTTTGGCGGGTGAGGAATAACCAAGTGATGGATGGTTACCCAATGCCCATTGGCCAGTTCTGGCGGGGCTTGCCTGCATCCATCAACACTGCCTACGAGAGGAAGGATGGCAAGTTTGTCTTCTTCAAAGGTAACCAAACATCCTCCTCAGTATTTGGGGCTAGGGAGAGTTTTCCTAGAGGAGCTGATTCTACTTGACTCCTCCAAAGACCCTAGAGGCTAATTGAGCCAGATCCTACCCTTTTCTGTTCTGCCAGGTGACAAGCATTGGGTGTTTGACGAGGCTTCCCTGGAACCTGGCTACCCCAAGCACATTAAGGAGCTGGGCCGAGGACTGCCTACTGACAAGATCGATGCCGCTCTCTTCTGGATGCCCAATGGAAAGACCTACTTCTTCCGGGGAAACAAGTAAGATATCAAACCTTTAACCTCAGTCTTCTCCCCTCAGAACCCCCTCCCCCACAACACACACACACACACACACACACAACTTCCTCAATTTTGGAGGAAGATCCACTGCACCCCTAAGCTGTTTCCCTGGAAAAAGAGCTGAGCCTCTTCTGTTGCCTAGCAGCAGGAGCTTTCAGTGAGTGCTGAGTGAGTAGGATGTGACCGGGTCACCGTTTCAGACCTGGTCATTTGACGCCTCCTGCCCCCAGCCCTGCACCTCCTCCCCAGCAGCCAGGCACTGTCATTAAGGGCTGCTGGTGGCTCCTTACAGCCTGGGCCCTCCTTCCCACCCCCGCCTTCCGCCTCTTTCAGCTGCAGGCCCTCATTACTCAAAATCCCTGTCCCCCCATGTCCACATCCACCCTTTGCTCACTGGTGAATTCAGTCCTAGGTCCTGTTATCCTCTGGGGACATGCCTAGTGTCCTACCACTTCCCTCTTCTTTCTCTCCCCCAGGTACTACCGTTTCAATGAGGAGCTCAGAGCAGTGGATAGCGAGTATCCCAAAAATATCAAAGTCTGGGAAGGAATCCCTGAGTCTCCCAGAGGGTCATTCATGGGCAGCGATGAAGGTGAGAAGGGCAAGAGTAGGTGTCCATGAGGGGAGGATGGGATTGGGGAGTTTAAGAAGAGGAGGAAAATCTGAGTATTATGTGGAAAATGATGATGACAATAATAACGGAGTCCTTACCATGTGCCAGGCACCATGCTCAGTGCTTTCCATCCATGACACCATCCACGCCCCTCACTCTTCCAAACTGGCACTATAAATCATCCTTGGTCCACAGCTGAAGAAACCAATGCTTGGAGACCTTGAGAAATTAACTTGGTTGGTGCTCACAGTAATAGATTTTCCTTTTGCTCTTCTCTTCTCTTTGGCTCTTCTGCTGGACTCTGCCCACATCTCCCATCTTCCTTGCCACCTTCTTGCTGACACCCTGCAGTCTTCACTTATTTCTATAAGGGGAACAAATACTGGAAATTCAACAACCAGAAGCTGAAGGTGGAGCCAGGCTACCCCAAGTCAGCCCTTCGGGACTGGATGGGCTGCCCATCAGGCGGCCGGCCTGATGAGGGAACTGAGGAGGAGACGGAAGTGATCATCATCGAGGTGGACGAGGAGGGCGGTGGGGCAGTGAGCACCGCTGCCGTAGTGCTGCCTGTGCTGCTCCTGCTTCTGGTGCTGGCCGTGGGCCTTGCTGTCTTCTTCTTCAGACGCCATGGGACCCCTAAGCGACTACTCTATTGCCAGCGTTCCCTGCTGGACAAGGTCTGACCCCCACTGCCGGCCCGCCCACTCCTACCACGATGAGGACTTTGCCTCTGAAGGCCAGTGGCAGCAGGTGGTGGTGGGTGAGCTGTCCCACCCGTCCCAAGCTCCTTTCCCACCCAACCCCTCTGTACCCTAATCCTCTTCCCTTGACCCGTTTCTTCTCTTTGTCCCCTGACTGGCCTCTCCCACCCTTGCCTCTGGCATCTCTTCTTTCCTAGGAGGGTCCCCTGGGGGCTGAGCAAGGGAGGACCCTTTCAGTCCCTGCCCCTCAGGGGAACCCTGTAGCTTGGTGTGTGTCCAGCCCCAAATGAATGTCTTGGGGGCTCTGCACTTGAAGGCAGGACCCTCAGACCTCGCTGGTAAAGGTCAAATTGGGGTCATCTGCTCTTTTTCAATTCCCTAGCATATCTTTAACCTCTGAACTCTGACCTCAGGAGGCTCTGGGCACCCCAGCCCCACAAGCCCCCAGGTGTATCCAGTTGGCAGCCTCCTACCACCCTTTCTAGCTGAAAGGAATCCAATTTTGTGTGGAGGCAATCTTGAGGGAGTGGGGGATGGGGACTGCCCAGCTACCCTAAGACCTTGGGAACAAAACTCAAAATGAAGGTCTGTATTATTAGATGAGTCCAGCTCCTCTCCACAGAGATCTACTTCTGCTCCCAGCTACCCCAGAGAGCTTCCAAGGAAGGAGCCTGAGCCATTAAGAACTAAATTGGGGCTAGAGAAACCCCTGGCAGCCTTACCCTTCTCAAATGGTAGCCTTGGATGGAATTTCAAGGTTGGAGGAACTACCGGGGTGGGTGGGCCAAGGGGAGAGACCCAGGGGTCTGGAGCCCTGGGGATGAGCCTGAAGGCCAAGAAAGAACCATACTCAAATGCAGGCAGCTGTGGCTGGGACCCAGGGGCAGAACAGTCAGAGGGGACAGAATGGGACCAAAAGGGTAAATGGGGAGGTACAGCAGTAGATGGCTGGGGGCTGGGCAAGCCAAGCTAGACTGGCAGGGGTGTCCTGAACAAGCCGTGGTACCCAGGAGAGGGCACATTTTGTTGGAGCTCTCAGAAAGGGTCCTGAGAAAGGCTCACTTGGTTCTTGGGTCCTCTTCCTCTCTGACCAGATAGCAATGAGGGGAAGGGTGGGAAGCTAAGAGAGGAGCAGAGCAGGCACACACGACAGTGACTGGTGACTTGGGAACCTCAGTGAGAGAGGCCACCTAGTCTAAGTAGCAAAGGAGGTTCCTGAAGGCTTGGCAAGCTCAGTGTTAGCCTGCATCAGCCAGGATGGGAGCTGGGCATTACCCCCAGCCTCTGCGGGGACAAGTGCCTGGGTATCTTCGTTAGGTAGCTCCTCACTCCCCTATCTTACCGATGCCCTGACCTCCCCCCCACCCCCCAAGCCTGCCCATTTGGAGTCTCCTTCGGCCACCAAAGGTGGTCATGGTACTAGGGACATGGGAGAGTGAGAGACCCTGTGGAGAGAGTGAAAGGAGAGGGATGTTGGGGGAGGGCACAGGGGGTGGGGGGGATATGGGGTGAACGGTGCTGGCAGTTCGGCTAAATTTCTGTCTTGTTTGTTTTTTTTTTGTTTTGTTTAATGTATATTTTTATTATAATTATTATATATGAATTCCATTCAAATTGTTCCTTTTTGTTAACAAGGGGCATGGGGTGGGGAGGGGGAGGGGGGCAGAGGCATTTGACCCCAGGAACCTGCAGGGCGGGGCTGGGTCAGTGCCCTCTAAGGACATTTTTCGACCTTGTTCAACCTTTCCACAAAGAATAAACCATGTTTCACATTCTTTGTGTGGCTGCCATTCTGTGTAGGGGTGACTGGGATAGGGCTACAAGGAGTATGGAAAGGGGGAGCTGCATCATGATCGGCGTTTTCCATGATATGGGGCTTTGGCATTTTTCATAAAGAATAGGTTTATTAGTGGACTGAAGGATTGGGGGTCAGAAGTGGAGAGGAAGGCATACCCCATTGAGGGCAGGAAAGTGGTTGACAGAGCCCAGCTGCTCTCCCTTCAATATAGCTGAAAGGGCTACCTTTGAGACCCAGTGCTGCCAAGGCAAAAGGAAGTGGTCAAACTTAAGCCACTTGGAAAATCTTCATAAATTGCATTACTGTCATGTGATCTGTCCTCAGACCCCTCAGTTCCTTTATCTCTCTCCCCCTGCCACACGGGGGATTCCCATGAGCATATTCAACCTCATTCCTCCTGGCAGGCCCTTCACTGTCAGCCCTCAGGACCTAGCCTCTTCAGGCAGCAGAGGGTGGGGCTGATGAAGGAACTGAGAGGAAAAAGAGAAGAGCTTGCCCCTCGGCCTATAAGGAGCAGCCTGTTTCTCACAGAACAGGGGGCCCCAAGGAACCCAATTGCCCAAGATGGTCCGGTTGGAAGGGTGGAATAACAAGGCTTTGTTTCCTCTTTCCTTAGAAACTGCTGCCCCAGACAGGGTTCCCAGGCCGGGCTTCCTCCAAAACCAGCCTGAGGGATGAATCTTTTGGTTGCTGAGTCAGCTCAGCTGGAGAAGAGCAGCCTCCTTTCCTCACCGCACTCCCCCCACCCCCTAGCCTTCCCTTCCTGCCTCAGCCCAGCCCAACTGGGGCTCCAGCCCAGGCCCCCTCCACAGCAGCAGTCCCCTTGGAGCTCTGGACTCACTTATGCCAGTTGGTCCATCCAGGTGCTATTCAGGGCTGGTTGGTGTGATTGCTTTGGCAGAAGAGGTCCCTACCTTCCTGCCAGCCAGGAATCCTGACCCTATGCCTGGCCTCCTGCACCTCCCCTGCCAACAGCTGTTTAGCAGGATCTGTGAGTTTCAGTGGAGTAGAACACTACCTCCCATCACTCTCACCAGAGATGGGACCCTGAAAAGTCTGCACGGGGAAGTTGAGGGTGTCTGGGAGTGGCAGGGTCTGCGCGTGTGGCAGAGAGCTCAAAGATGAGCTCATGGCCCTATTGTGTTTTTGCGGTCCTCATCTGGAGGCAATTACAGATGTTATCCAGTGGGAGTTCTGCAAAACACAGCTGGAGCCAGTGGAGGAGCCTAGGGAGGTGGGACTGCCAGAGAGAAGGGGGGAGGGTAGGGCTCCCGTGGCTGGAGTGCGGTTTCCCCATCACGAGGAAATTGTTTGGCCCTGATTCTGGAATCACAAGATACTCTCTGAAGCCAAGGGGGAGAGATGGGAATGGAGGACCAGAGACAAAGGGGGAAGAAGTGGAAGATGGGGCTCCACTAGCAGGGGGCACTGGGGAGTGAGAGCTACAGTGCCTTGTGCTTCTGACGTGCTTGGGCCTGCCTGAGCCACCGCAGTGAAGCTGCCTGGCAACACTGGGAGGTCCCCCAGTGGTCACAGTGCCACAGCAGAGGGGACCACCTGGGCCAAGCTGGGTTGAAGGAGAGTAGAGGGGCCTGTGGCTCCAGAAAGACCTGCAGGTTCTGCTTTCACTGGCGCTATTCGGCTTTGCCCATTGGGTCTGACCCAGTTTTTGTGATTCCAAGTTCCTTTATTAGAAAGCAGTACATGTGAGTTGGAGCAGCCAGGAGGGAGCCAAAGGGAATTTGCAGGAGGTTTGGGCAGAACCCAGAGAAGCAGAGCACTAAGGAGAAGCTGGACACGGGGGAGAGGGCAGAGGAGGGGCAGTGCTCTGGCCACCATTGCAGATTAGCAGGGGAGAGCCATGGTCATTGCCTCCCCTTCTCCAGGACTCCTGCCACCAGTTGGGCCCACACCTCCAGGGCTGCCAGCCAGGTGCTGGGTCAGCAGGATGGAAAGGAAAGGGAAAGGACAATCTAATGGGAGCACTGCCTTCCAGAGCAGAAAGGACTGGGCGGAGTGATGCCCCCACCCCAATCTGGCATGTTTTGCCAGTTCTTCACTGTCCTTCCGCCAGGGCCCCTTCTCCCTCCAATCTGACTTTTCAATTCTCTTTTCTCTGTGTACCCCTACTTCCCTTTCCAGCAAAGGGGTGGCAGGGAGAATGGTCAAGAGACTAACAATTGCTGAGGACCTCACAAAATCCAATGGCACAGATGTTATGAACATTGCCCCCATTTTACAGATGAGGAAGCTGTGACCCAGAAAGGTAAATGACTTGTTCAAGGTCACATAGGTCATTAGTTCAAAATTCAAACCCAGGTCTATCTGATATTTTTTTCTATACAAGCAGATTCTGGCAGATCTCTTGGGTAACTCTTCCAGTGGGGGCCTCTGTCGCTGGGTGTCTGCATGGCAGTGTGTGTTGGGGGATCTGTCGGCACTTGTGTGCTGGCCTATTGTGCTATGTTTTTGTGCAACAACGTGGGGGATGGGAGGGCAGGGAGAAAGGGGTTCTTCCTTAGGAATCTCCTTTGTCAGGCCAGCTGGTGACCCCCATTCTTGTGGACAGGAGCAGGTATTCTGAGGGAAGGAAGGGACAGCAAGACTCAGAAGCCAGAGAGACTGAGTGGGACAATGGCAGCAGCTAGGAGAGAAGACAGGTGGTATGTGGCTGTGCAAGGGCCTAGGGAGGAGGGGGAGACCTAGAGGGGTTTCCCCATTCCCTAAGGCCCCAAGGAAACCCCAGTGAAAACTGTTCCACTGTCCTGTATCCTCTGTACCCCTTCCTATCCATCCCTCCTCACCCAAATCTGACTTTACCTCCTTCTGGACACCAATTCTTGCACACCTGGCCCTGGCCCTGGGAGTTCCCGTCTTTTTCCTTATAGATTTGGGAGACCCAGGGCCTGCCTGTGAGGGGGTTGGGCAGCCAGCCCCTGGAAGAGAGGCAGGCCTGACTGGCCAGAGGCCACCTTCCAAATGAGCTCACACACATACTTTCCACCCTGGCCCAGGGCCTCTGGCTGAGCTCCTTTCAGGCCAGCCTTTTTGAGCCAGGCCCAACCCCCTCTGTCGTCCCGCCACATGTCCTGGCCCCAGGGCTTCCAGAGTATGATTGGGCGCCCCAGGCCAGGCCTGCCACCACATCCCAAGGCAGCAAGTTCCTCTGCCTACGAGCTGAGGCCAGATCCCCCAGCCACTGGGGCCTCTACGGCTTAGAGGGGGTGGAGACTAGCTCCTCATCCCCAAACACGCACACCTGTGTAAGGAGGGGCGGTAGAGGGACAGAGGGCCTGTAGTATTGTAGTGGAGTGGCGGAAGGGCTTTAGAGTGCCCTAGAATGCCAATGATTCAGAGCCCAGGCCAGACCCGGAGCTGCCTCACCATGGATCACATCCTGCTCACTCACTGGACTTCCCGTGAGGGGCACTTCTTTGCCTTGGAGCAGGAGGAGATATGGGTGGGGCAAGACCAGGCTGACCACAAAGCAGGAAAAGGCAGGTGCCTCTAAAGGCCTAGCCGATTCACACACATGCGACATTATGATCTGTTCTGTGGTCAAAGGCATCAGTCCCACTTCACCCCAGCTTCCAGAGACACGCAGCACCATGCCAGAGAGATCAGTTCCCAGAAATACTCTCCTTGCCTGCTGAGCACCTGGCTCTGGGCTCCAAGCATGGCTTCGCTGATCACATTCCCTGGATCCAATAATGTCTCCTGAGGTTCTGTGAGTTGGTATATTCAGACAAGACAGACAATTCATCCCATTTTGGACTCCAAAAATATGCCCACTGCAAGTAGATCACACAACCGTTGCCCTCTAAGCAATGACAGCTGTGTGAAGGAGTTACTATGATTCATAGTAACACTGACCCCATCACAAAGAATTTCTGTCCTTACTTTTTTTTTTTTTTTTTTTACAAAAAGGTGGCATGGTGCTAAACAGTAAGTAAATGGCAATCGATAAAAGTTTGTTGAATTAAATTCCCATTACAAATATTCAAGTAATACGTTAGTAGTTACAAGGATGAATACCAAAAAAAAAATCAAAAAACCAAACTCACTGTCGTAGAGTTGGATCCAACTCATAGTGATCCCTCCTTGGGTTTCCGAGGTGGTA